CTCCCCTCCCCTCCCCTCCCCTCCCCTCCCCTCTCCTCTCCTCTCCTCTCCTCTCCCCATCTTCTCACTGGGAAGGGAGAAGAAAACATTTCTGAGAAAATCCCTGGTTTATTTGAGAAAGTAAAATGAAGCTGTCCAGAGATGAAGAAAGTTTGAGGTGATCAGAATAAGGCTGAATTGTTGGACACAGTCCACACTAATTACAGAAAAACTGATATGAGACTACAATATGTTCTTGAGCTGAGAAAGTAAATCACACCCTAGGATGCATCAAAAGAAGTGTAGCCATAGAGCTGATTTGCTTTCTCTCATAGCAAGCAAATAAGAATCAAATATCTTCTAGCCTTAAAGAAAATTGTTCAAAATAATGGAAGATACGTAAATAAATGTGTTTTGTAATGATTTACAGATTTGGTTGACATTTATGAGATGCTTCAACTACCCAGTGAAGGATAATACAATCAAACTTACAGCTGTGTGGTTCACCCTGTCTTTTGGGTAAGAGTGGTTGAGATTAAACCATTTTTACAGTCTTAACAGACAGAAAAATCATCTGCATGTAAATTTGTTCTCGGTTGCAAACCTGACTCGTCAGGAATACCTTCTTTGAAAAACTGACATCTTCTGGTGTCAGCATATTTCAATTATTATATATTGTGGAGGATTTTACTCTGATGGAGCAACAGCTCAATCACATAAGTCTCCAGGGGAGCTGCTCATTCACACCTCACACAGATTTCCAAATGAGTGAAATTGGTTCCTGAAGTTTTTCTGGTTTTCCACAGCTACTACGGCTTATCTGTCTGGTTTCCTGATGTCATTAAACATCTGCAGTCAGACGAGTATGCATCCCGAGTGAAACATTTCCGCAATGAGGAGGTCTCACATTTTGTCTTCAATTTCACACTGGAAAACCAGATTCACAGCAATGGAGAATACATCAATGACAGGTCTAGAGGTTTCCTAATATCTTGGCTTAGTTGGAATAAACAGATGCATGTTTTAAAGCTCATCCTAATAACACAGTTTTTATCATGAGGTAATGATAGATGGTTTTGTTACCTTTTAGTGATTATTTATTTCTGTTCTTAATTTCTTATGACTCATAATCATGAGGAGAAATGTACATGCCCTGGGGGTTCCTGTGTGAGGATCCACTGAGCAAACCCAGCTTCCTTGACTTCCTGCAAAACAGATCAAAAAGACTACATCAATTTTACTTCCTTTCACAGTGGGATTCAAAGGTTTTCAGATCCAACATATGCAGTATATTGTAGGGGGCTGGGCAAAGATGCACTTTCATCTCTGTTGATTCTCATTTTTTAATTGATGAAAGACACTTCTGTGAACAGGCTGAATATTGGGAGGTTAGGATCTTATCACAGAAAAATGAAAGCTAAACATTACCATAGACCAATGAAAAGCATGAACAGAAATGAAATGGGAAACACCACTCTGATAATGCCTTTTGTGATTTTTTTTTAGCCAAAGGCAAATATATTAAGGCTATATCTGGACTTCACAAATAACTAGGTAACTCATGGGAAAATTAAACACAGCTGGTTTAGGTATCTGGTTTCTCTTAAGAAATGTGCAGAACAACCATGTGAATGGTCTGCTGGAAGTCATGATCATAATTACTTATTAGTTCAATACAAAAATATGAATATAAGTGAATAAAACTGATTGTTTTGTGATGATTTAGTAATAGTACTAGTGCTTGAGTTTTGACATAAAGCTTTATATATTGAAGAAAAAAACAGGCATTATTTAATTTTCAATAGCCATAGCTTCCAAGTCCCACTCCTTTCCAGAATATAGATGTTCTCCTAAAATTGAAGAAAAATCAGTAATAAGCTTTTATCAATTTAAATGGGACATTCTTGTAAAACACTAAATCTAGCATTAATTTATGCTAAATCAATAATTTACTCTTGCAAATGTGCAAGTTTAATATGCTCCTGACAGTTATTTGGGATTCACAAAATATTTTCCAGGAATATGAACCCATTTGATATCCTTGCTTCATAAATGTTTCAATACCTACTCACTCTCAATTTCACTGTTTCCTTCATGATCTTTCTTAATGAGAAGATCCATCAATACTTGACTTCGTAATACATTGCTTTCCTGTTGGGTTTTAAATCAAATCATTGTGACACCAATTTTAATGTAGTCACATGCTTCCTGTACAAAGTTAAAAAGTGCATCAGAAGAATGTAGAACATATAGTCTGTCATTTTTATTTCAACTGACTAATCTAGTCATTATATTTTCTTTGTTCTCTTCTGGAAATAGTCTGTATTTTAGAATGGAAAGTGCTGTATGAAAAATGATAATGAGTAACTCCAGCCTGATTTTAATCAGTCTGTCACAAATGAGAAATGATATGGTAACTAGAAGTAATAGACTGAAAACACTATTCTTCTGACCAATACAAAAAGAGAATTAATTAGTTAGTTAGTCACTTACTGTGGTAAGGTTCCTCTGACAAATCAAGATTCTTTTAAAAATTCTTTCTTTACAGCTTGTTGGTATTAGCAAGTGTTTGTTTATTCCCAGGGACTGAATTTCTGAAGTGTGATCTCCCCGTTTCCAGGTGTAATGACAAATTACTAGCAATTGTGATTTTACAAGGCTGTTGCATGAATTTAATGACATTGGTTTTGATTGATGATTAAGGACAACTAACAACAGAAATATTATCAAACAAATTATATTACCAGTTTGGGCCAGTAACTATGTGTTGCTATAAGTTAATCATTAATCACATCTTCAAAATGCATCAAAGGAGCCTTTGTTACTGGGGTTGAGATTTTTTTAGATCTGAATAGCTGCATCTGTTGCTTTTTCAAAACTATGAAGGTAAATTGACAGCAATTCTTTGTATTGGGCAGGTTTATTATGATGAAATTTAAATCAGTAACCTTTGAAGATTCGCTTTTTAAGAACTGTGTTTTTGAAGACATTACTTCACTGAATACATACTTCAGGAACTGTACTTTTGTGAATACCACCTTCTACAACACAGGTATGAGAGAGATATGAGAGAGACAATCAAATGCCCATTGGTCAGCTGCATGTTTTCATCTTACATTTATAATTTCTGGACTTATAATAAGACATACAAGAAGTCCTCCTGTGTAATAATAATAATAATAGGAATAATAATTTATAGGAAGCAACTAGCTCGTTGCAACAGAGAATTGAATGGATCTCACTGCACAAGATATACTTCAGGCCTAATATTGACTCAGAAAATGAATTATTTGTTTTATTCACATAATAAGTGATTTATTTTTTATCTTTGATTTCAGAGAGATTCAGTCTGGAGAGAAGATAATGCATTTTCTGTTTTACTGGTAGCTTTAACTAATGAACTTTTATTTAGTCCAAAAGGGACTGGTGAAATACTTTGTTCTCTGTGCTTGCTGTGGCAGGGGAATTACCTAGTCTATATTCATTCCTAGTCTCCTAAGTGTCTCTTTGTGACAAAAATATGAATCCATATTTTCATATTTTCATATTTTCATAAACACTGAAAGTAGAGTATGGCCAACTAAGCTTGTTGAAAAGATGAGGCACTTCTTCCCACTCTCCTGTGACTACAGCAGTCACAACAGTAACAGACCTAGGTTTCAGAGCAAGCAATGACGTTAATGTGGAAGGAAGGCAATCTTGGTTCAGGTTTATAAGGCTAACAAGAGGAATGGGAAAATAAAAGGAATATAGGGTCAGTTTTCTAGAATGGTATTGGCAGAAGAATTAACTGCATAGTGTAACTCATCTATGGACAAGCTGAAGACCATGAGGCCTTCTCAGAAATGAAAATCAGTTTAAACTGAATTCCACAGGAATATTTCACTTCAAGGAAGGCAAACAAAACTGACCATAATTGAGAGTCTCATCAGGAAATGAAGGTCTGATACTGAGAAAGACTGAGTCATAGAAACCTGCAGGTACCTAGAGCATTTTATGCAAGACCAGCTGGTGCTGAAAGGCCTTACCAAATACAGTTCAGGCAGGGTAAAATACAGTAATATAATTTCCTAATTCCAGACTTTAGTTGGTCCTTTTCAAGATCTTTGCAAGTGTTTCTAGTAAGATAAAAACTATCAAAATTACTAGCAGTAACTAGTGCCCTTTTTGCAAAGCTGTGAAAGCTCCAAGCTGTCATTAAATTTGCTTGAACTTTAAATACTTTTAATCAAAAGTTGCACATGGATTTGGCTGTTTGCTGAAATTATTCTTTTTCTTCTTTCCACAGATCTCGAGCAGTATAAATTTGTTGACAGTGAATTGATAAATTGCACATTTTTTCACGTCAGGACAGGATGCCAGATTTCTTTTGATGATGACTACAGTGCCTACTGGATCTACTTTGTTAATTTCCTTGGAACTTTAGCAGTGTTGCCAGGAAATATTGTGTCCGCTCTGCTGATGGACAGAATAGGACGGTTAACGATGCTAGGTAGGTCCTTCACTCTGGTACAGGGAACATCAAAAGTAACATGTCCTCTTTTCAAGGAATTTGGCTAGAGAAATGAAAAACATTCTTTCTGCAGATAGGTAATTTGTGTGCCCTCATAAATACTGTTTTTAAAAGCCCCCAGTTTTGAAACTCTAGAGAAAAAAGGGATCTGTAGCCACCTCTACATGCTCTTCCACAGATACTACAAGTCCATAAGCTAGGCATTTAGACTGAGATTTTGGAGACTGATGACCATTGGTTTATCTCTGCTCCAGCTGAAAGGAAAGAAAGGTGTGGACAGGTAACCCTCAGCTAGTGGAGCAGATCCTGCAAAGTATCGGCTGTTCATTGTCTGTTATCTATTTTGCAGAGTTGAAAGGTATCTCCTGTGGATTGTCTACAATGAGAAATGTGTTTTGAATTTACTTAAATAACTATGTGGTAGTTAATTGTCTTTATTTTCTAGGACAATATCTCTATATAAACACATATAGATTTTAATGTGTATACATATATACATTAAAATAAATACAGCATTTTTATTATAATATATGAACAGTTTTCATGTAATTGCAAAAGATGATGTGCAAAGAAAAATGGGGGTAGTTTTGCTCAGGAATCATGCTTTGGGAATTCAGAGAAGCTTCCAACTTAATACTTTGTGATATATTCTGATATGTGAGAAATTGTATTTTTTCTTGTGACCTCCTTTCTTCAAGATTTGTCTTTCTGTCTGGAGTTACCAGTAGAGGAGATCTCTTCAGTTTCTAACTCAAATATTTGGGCCACTTATCTAGCTACACTGTGCATAGGAATATTAGACAAAACAAAGGTTATTCTTTAAATACAACTCCACTACATGCTTATTTCACCTGCCTTGTACCTAGGTGGTTCCATGGTTCTTTCTGGCATCAGCTGTTTTTTCCTGTGGTTTGGGACCAGCGAATCCATGATGATTGGTATGCTGTGCCTCTACAATGGCCTCACAATCTCAGCATGGAACTCTCTGGATGTAATTACTGTGGAGCTATATCCTACAGACAGAAGGTATGTGCAGATATACCTCTCCTAAACTCACTATGTACCAGCAGAAATGGTAAATAGAAATTATTTTGTATGGGGCTTACAAAGTTAGTGATGTTTTGAGAGGGCCAAATTAATAATTTGTCCTATGAAAAGCAAATGGAAACAATGAGGAGTTTTGAGCAATATAGTATGTATTTTGCATCAAATATCTTCCAATCAGGAAAATACCATAAATGTAGTTTCATTTGAAAGCAGAAGGTCTAACAGCTACTCTTATTTAAAACACAGCTAACATTTCTGAAAGCAGTAATGAAGTATCTTTGAATTTCCTGTAATTTAACTGGATATAAGGGCAGTAGTTGGTCCAAACCAGAAATACAACTGCATTTGTCTGTTGACTGTGAAATGGTGGGAATGATGGGAATCACTGTCTGAACCACCCTGTGCTGCTAATCAGTCTTCCATGAATTTGTATGCAGGGCCACTAGTAGTGTACATTAAGTGGGTAAAAATTATCTTGTGCACTGCCCTTGACTCTTCAGGGCTCTTGCAGGAAATCTCAGGACAATTTTCAAATCCTGCATTGCTGCTAGATGACATGAGTTGGGTTTTTTTCAGATACAGGGCACTTTTTAATCCTGAACTTATGTTACTTAATGGACTAAAGGAAGAACTGTTGAGTCATATTCGGTTGTATGGGAAGGGCAAAAATGTAAAAGCTGTGCTATCTTGAATAGACTTGAATATTTCTCCCCTCTCAAATCCCTAAAAATATTTAATCAAAATTGCCCAGATTCCTAAAAAAGAACATTGTATCCTTTCTCTTGTTACAGTGCTAATTATTATGTCATTTACTGCATATTTGAAATATTTCCAGTTTATAAATGAGTGATGCCTTATTGGCAAGTGTAATTTTTTGTAAAGGAGTTACCCTGTCTTTAACGTTGTCCATTAAGAGATTTAGAAAAGTGTATACTGGCTTCCCTGTTTTCCTTTCATTGTCATTTTAAAATTATGTGCTTCTTCAGACAAGAAATTGATGTCCAGAGGAAACATCCATTTTATTATATCAAGTAACAATACTAGTCCATTTATGAATCCTAAGCACTAAGTGTTAATATTAAGTGCTAGTATTTTTAGTACACCTCAGGAAATTGCTCCTCTGGCAAGAATTCTTCCACTATCCAAATGCTATGATATAATTCTAATAAATATTCTGTAGAAATGACTATCTTTTGTGTATTCCTGAATATAACAGCCACATATGTTTTCCTAACATGAAGTAAAGAAGAACAATTGGAAAAATCATTGCTGTTAATGGAAAAAAAAAATTACTAGGACTGATAAAAAGAATGTAACTGATATTTATCTGTATATATCTACAGAGATGTTAAGGCATCTGTAGTTGTATCTAATGGTTATTTTTCATAGTTTCTACTAGCTTTGGGATTATAGCAATTTCTTACTCATCTTTTTTCCTATTTTAACATCTTTTGTATGCAAGAATAACTGTCCAGAACCAGAAACTTAATTGAAGCTGAGTTGTTTTTTACAACAAACCAGAGATAAAAAACTTGTCTCTTTGAATTATCTGTTCAAAAAGGTTGGGGGTGAATGTACCTATGCCTGGAAAGACATTGTTGACATATGCTGTAGATGAGACTTTCTCCCAGAAGTTCTGATAGTGATGGAACCATGGCTGCTAGTTTTTGTCAGCTTGGTTATAAGTAAACACAAAATTTGAGATATTTTTTTTAGACTGGGGCAAAGCTACTTCCTGTTTTGTAGAACTTTTTGAAAATTAATACCTTCAGGAACTCAAATAACTTGCTTACAAGATTTTTTGATAATTTTTTTTTTATCCAGACTGGCTACAGTTTAACCAGCACTGCTCACCTCTCATTGTCATGGGTTTCCTTCTCAGATTCCTGTGATCTCCATAACCAGGAACAGTTTGCTGGGAATGTCCAGTTTCTGCAAGTAACTCTAGGGCTGAACAGCTTTTCTTGGCATTTGTGGAACATGAAGCTTCCTGATCTGTTCTTGCATATGAAATCCTTCATGCTTAAAATTATCTCTTTTGTTACAAAGCAAAAGCAAAACAAATTCCAGAGTGAATCTGGTCCTGAAACTGGCTTCCAGATTCTCCTGTAAAGGGAATCTAAGCACAAAATCCTTGCTCACTCTGTCAGTGTTTAATACTATTTTCTTACAGCCTATCAGTGAAATGACCACAAACGTGCAGCCAAGGGTAGCTGGAGGTTGGGCTCAAAGATTGGTGGGTGGAAGGAGACCAGTTCATGCTACCATGCACAAGAGGCACGAACTCTTGGGTAGCCCCTCCTTTTCCTCCTCTTGGAGACCAGCCAGTTGCTGAACTGCAGGGGCTTTGCCGGTGTCGTGCAGTATAATACAAAAGGTGTTTCATAAATTGTACCCTAGGTATTTAGAAGTCCTACTGGCTTTCAGCCAGGTAGAGTGTGGTGAACAGTTTGGCAATGTGCAGTCTATGTGATACAGAGCACACATTTCACTTTATTCTTCATCAGTTATGGTTGCTTCAAAATCTTGACAGATTTGTCTTCTGTATAAATTCATACTCATCTGCACATTTGTATTTTAGTTTACTGATCCCTAGAACTGAGGTAACTACATAATTTGTCCTACTTTCTTGATGAGTACTGGCAAATTTTATACTATTTAAGTTTGTTTCACATTCTTCATAAAGTCTCAGCTGTTTTGTACAACTGCTGATATTAGGGAATGTATAGATTGCAAATGGTTCTCAGGTAGATGATGACAGTGCTAAAATGGAAAATAATGTTACTAATGTTGGTTATAAGTGGGTTTCTGTCTTCTAGATGATATATATGAAGTAAATAATAATATTTTAATATTCTACCATTTTTTAAACTTTTCAATACACAAATTTTAAAAGACGCTTGTGATAGCTAGATATAAACTAGTTAGCGATTTCCAACAAGTAAGTAAATAATACAACTCAAGAATGTAAAGAACTTACATTTTCTCTTGTCTCTTCTTTTGTCTTTTACCTTATATTCTTAATGGACTCTGCTATCCATCAGGAGAGGAAATCTGTAGGCTGAAGTGTGTGACACCAAAAATTCCAGTCACTGAGCATTTTAGAAGTAGGGATGGGCTGAAAGTGCAGCTGTAGGTACCTAGCACTCCAGCAACATAAGCCTGAAGGTGCTAACCTGAGCACCTAGAAAATATGAAATACATGCTTAAAGACCATTTTGTTAGCTTTATGTGACTTGCTTGCATCATATGCAAATTCTGTGATAGGAGTAGGGATTTTATCCTTTCTTCTGACAGCGCTCCACTTTCTTAACCAGGAAACTGTTTTCTCATGTTGCAGTCCCCAATCTTATTCACAGTGCATCTTCCAACTTCTCTTGCAGATGAGGGAAACTAAGGTTTCTTTACTACATCTATCTTTTACCCTCAAGCCCTCTTTGTTCACTGCATTGGCAGAGTGATGTGGAAAAAAAATATTGTGTGATGAGGTAATTACAGCTTGGGTTGTAATGTGTGTGCCCAAGGGGCCTGCAATAACACTGCACAGTTTCTCAGCTCTGCCTGTAGTATAAATACGGATGGAAGAAAGCTTAAGCTCTCTGAAGGAGGAACTTTAGGACAATTTTGTTTCTTTAAAAAACAATTTTTACTTTCACATTAGTGGTAAGTCTCTTCTCGTGAACTTGGGAAGCACTAGCATGATAAGCCAAGATTCTCATCAGAGAGATGATACAATAACTAAAACCTAAATAGAAAGTGAAATAGAAATAGATCATCTCCCACATAGAGAATAAATCAGATTGCATCAGATAACCAACAATTCATAATTTTTCTGTGGCTGCCATAGATCTGAGTTTGAATCTTGTCCAGGAATACTTAGAATTCAAGGTGAGCCATAAAATTAAGTCAGCCTTTTTTTAATGCCTCTGAAAAATTTCTTAGGGATTTGGCCACAATTAAGAAATAAGTCTCCCATCTTCAGTTCATGGTTTTTACTTTTTTCACTTCTTTTTGAACTCTTAGGATCTATACCCAGAGTAATAAATTTTATTCTCACAGTATCTTATCTCCAAGTTTGTATTAGTGTGGATGTCAGAAGAGAAACTTTCTATTCTTTTGAGTCATAATAGCAGTGATTGACTCACAGATTTCCTGACAGCTATTTTCTACTCTCATCCTATGGCTATAGTTCAACTGCATTTTGCCTTTCACAGTAGTCCAAGGAAGGAAGGCAAATTCCACAGTTTTACTTGCACAGTAAGTACTAATTTTTAAAGAGAATATAAAAATATCTGGATATAGAAAATTGTCCAGAGAACTTTTGGATACTCTGTTTTAATGCTTTACATATTATCAATTCTAAAGAAATTTTGTTGTAACCTGCTGGTTTTGTAAATTGCTCTGCCAAGAAAGATAATAAATATTTGTGCTACACATTAGTAGCACTCTGCTACAGGACAATGAAGTTTTTAGATATTTTGTCAGCAGTGGAAAAGTGGATCTGAAGTATTTTATATACGAATTCAAGCACCTGGTCTAAGAAGGAACATATGTGACAATCAGGAAACAAGCTCTTTTAATCTAAAGGCTTGGATAATCCCTCTATTTTTAACTGTTTGGACTCTTGCCATTTTTATGTGGACCTTGGATTAAAGGAAGCTAAGCATTTTTCTTTGTCACAGCTTTCTCAGCAGAAGAAGTAAAATACATTTGGGAAAATTCCTTTTCAGTAACATTCAGCTTTCTCTTCATGCTGACATTTTTATAAAAGACAGTTGTATTTTTCTCCTATCAATACGAAATTCTGTATCTGGGGGGTTTTTAAAAGACAATCCTAAATTGATTAACCAGCATTTTCTTACTGAAAAGACTGAAAGACTTAAGTGAACTCTCTAGCTAGACAAACAATTCTTGCTACTTATGACTGGTCGCCCTTGACCATCAATGAGGATTACTCATGAAGTCAACATGACATTTTTGTGCAAATGTTTGTCCAATAATAGATCAAAACAAAGAAAGTGGGTGTGTATATATAAATGGTCTTATTCACTTGGAATTTTTCACATAATTTGTTCATCATGTTAAGATGATGCATCATGTAATGTTAATCATTTGCTGACACTCTTGCACTTTCCTCCAACACTGTAACAGAAACTGTACTAACACTGCAAGAGACTATAGTCATACACATTTGTGATTTGCAGCATATTTAGTTCCTGGATATTTTTATTTCCCTGGATTCATGAGAATTAATTATAAAAGCATGACTAATACAGATTTTAAAGAGTTTGAATCACAAACACCATTCTAAGAAGGATGTTTAAAAAAATGAAGCAGTCTGAATTTGCTGCCCCTAGAGCTCCATAATGGTTTGACATCTTGTTCTGACTGTAAGTACAAACACATTCAAACACAGTATTAAAATTGAAGGGTATGAACTTATAAAATTAAATAGTGACAATGCTTTTCAGGTACAGGTCTTAACAACAATTTACTTAAGCCTGTTAAAATCTTATTGTTCATGCCAAGTACGTGCTTATTTTAGGCAAAAGGGCATGCCTGAAATCTGCTTAAAGATTAAAAGATTGCACTTCTACTGGGTTGTTCATTTTTAATTATCAGGACAGCTAAGGGTGATAAAATGAGCTTACTTTTTCGTACTTTTATTTGTTTATATTTTGATAACTCTAATGAGACTAGACTAATAAAACCCCCTTATAATCAGCAAAAATCTATAAGCTCAATTTACAAACAGAACTGGTTTTTAAGTGCAAAAAAATTAATTTTGTTCAGACAGAAGAGGCATTGTATATTACAAAATTGCTTTAGAACCTGATATAGTAATGTTGGGTATATAACAATAATAGATCTAAAGAACAGTGGCATTACAGACTAGAACATGAAAAGAAATGGTTCAAATTGCTCAGAAAATTGTATTCAGACCACTGTCATAACTAGTTGATATAAGCAGCTAACATCTGTGAAACAGCTTACCTTTTTTTTATAAGGTAATATAAAACAACACTAAACATAAGTAAAACATCCCCATATGTTTCGTGCTATTGTTTTTCCAAAGATTTCCTGCCTGTATCTATCTGAATTTGTTTTAGCTGGATCTGTGTATTCTTTGGAGAGCTCTGGTATCTCTGAATATACTGAGGCTGTTGATGACTAGGCGTCTGCTTTCTCTATGGGTTTTTTTCTGTTATTCGGAGTTAAGTTTGATTTTACATCAGCATTGACAACCAAGAAAATCATATTTATGTGCAGACTCTGATCATTACCAGTCACCACCATAACTTTGGAAGTACTTTCTGTGCATAAATAGGCTGACATTACAACCATTCTGACTCTTTCCCTTTCCTTCTTCCCTTGAGTTCTTCAGAATAGCTGCAATCTCTTGTTATCCTACCATATAAACTTGGTTTTCCAGTCCAGCTGTGTTGTCTTTAACCTCTTTCCACCTGCTTGCAATACAGCCTATTTTAACAAGGTCCTTTCCTCTTCGAGAATCTCCTGCCTGCATGCTTTGCGCAGCTCTTCAGAAGGACCTTGACAGGCTGGAGATTTGGGCAGAGTTGCAAAGGCAAATGCAGGGTGCTGCACCTCAGGAAGAATAACCAATACAGGATGGACACAGACCTGCTGGTCTAAAATGACCCTGTTTGAGCTTTGAGATTGGACCAGGTGACTCACTGTGACCCCTTCAACCTTACCCATTCTGTGATTTTGTAAACTCTACAAGATCCATCAGTCTGGGGCTCCTTCCCTCTCACTAGCTGCATCCCATCCTGGGTGATATTCCTCCAGATATTTTGGTCTTTATATGTCCCTGGAGCACAAATATTTCCATGCCAGATGTTTGCTTGTTTTCTCTTAGGCTTTGGAAATTCATCCCAGTAGGATGGCTGTTCTTTGCATCCTTCAGTGTATCTCATGCTTCTCCTTCAGACTGGTCCCTCTGAAGGACGTGCTTAGAATGGGCAGGTTTTAACTTGCTTGTTTCTCCTCTGAGGAAAGTCTTTTCAAGGAGCTGCTGCAAATGTTTCTCTGTCAGATATTTCCAAACACAACACTTCCCCAAATTTCCTCATCTACTGCTCTCTAGCAGCCCTCAGGGGTCCTGGCTGCTGGAGGACCTGTCATTTTTTAAATTGTTATGTCCAGGATGTGCATGTTTAGGTTTTCTTAACACTAAGTATTTTGTATAAGTACTGCAGGTTCAAGAAAATATATATAAAACAAATAAATAAGGACTTTGAACGTGTAAGAGACATATATAGGTCTCATCTACTTGTTTTTTCCCATAGAATTTTTTTTTTTTAATAGTTTCTACTCTGCTGTAGAAGTGACCTGTCTCTTTTTCTTTAGATACTGCCAATACTTAGTATCATTCACTATTTGGATGGATGCCATGCTTTACACAAAGAGGAATTGTGCTTACTTTAGACAAACCAGTAATTTCTTTACTAAATATCAGACATTTCAAAGAGATTAAAATACTGCCAGGGGGTGCAAGAGACATGTTGCCAAACTAATAATACATAATACAATATGATCATCCAGTTAAAAAAAAGTAATTTGTGTTTTGTCCCATATTCAGAAAAGAAACATGATACACAAAGCTGACACTAGAACACTATCAACTCTTCTGAATTTTCTTTTATAACATATTAGGGAACTAACATATAACATATAAGGGAACACGTAACATATAAGGGAACATGTAACATATAAGGGAACTGACTTTGGTCTGCAACAATGGAAAATAAATATTTAACATAATGGAAAAAAACTATTTGAAGGTGTGTTAATTAGTATATTACATGTCTTAATTCTATTCTGTAGACATTCTTTTAAATAATTTAATAATTCAACAGGAAAGGCACCATTATTTCAAAATTACACATTCTGAATCTTGTTGAGATTGTGGAGTTGATTTGTGGATTAATTAGGACTATATTTCTTAGAGCAAACCACAGTATTTTAGAAACATACAAAAAGGATCTAGGCATAGCCGTCATTCTTTTGATGAAGGGTCCTCAAATATACCAGGACTGGTATTATTCTGAAGCACAGTATCCTGGACAGGGCATGGACAGTGCTGAAAGCCCCAGATCATGGTCACCTCTCCTAGACTGAAACTTTTATCTCTCCCCTAGATAAAGCTTGGAAGCATGACACCAGAAGACTTAACTGATGTCACTATTGAAATACAGATTTGCCAAACAGCAGAGGAGGTGAACTCTGACACTGGGCTGTGGCCAGGTCAATCAGTGGCCTGAGACAGAGGATCTCTCATGATTTGATATAATCTTTTCTAGTTTTCAAAATCAAAAATCTCTTCCACTAAGAGCATAGAGACATTATATCCTTGCTCTCAGCTGGGGTCAAGTGTTCTTACTTCGAGTTGATTCTCTTGGCTCCTCTTTAGTAGCTCCAGTAAGAAGCTTTTCAAACTTCCTAGGATTTCAGTCTACATCTGAGCATGAGACTTCTTCCTTTCTTTCACAGGTGCTTCAGTAGAATAAGTGGAGCCTTTTTAAGTCACTTAGATCTCTAGCATTTCTCTTAATTCCTGTTGTTTAGACTTGGGCTTTTAATTGCAGTGCAAACAAGAAATATTTTGTTCTTAAAATTAGAACAACTATCTTCTTGATTTTTTAACATTTTATCCCAGCAAATACAGTGTAAGTTACACATAGACCTTCTCTCTTTAATTTCTAAGAGAGCTGAGAAATGTTAGAGATTATACAGATTATTATACAGATATCTGTTAGGAAACTTTTGGTAGGGCAGGCTTATTCCTGCATCAATGAATCATACAGTCATGTCAAAACACAATTTAAATTGTGGCAGTTTGCATAAGACATCTATGCAAGAGTCTTCAGACTACTAAAATCTCATCACTGTAATGCAAGACTCCACCTGAATTACCAGTGTCATAGTTTCTGTTGGCAATTTATTTCCTTTCTCTTCTGTCCAAAGTTTATCAGATATCTCTTTCACCCAACACATTTTTAGATACTCTTATCTTCCTTACCTCTAAGAGATGAACATTTGTTAATATTGGAAGTCTCATTAGCCTTTGAAAAAGAACTATTTCAATGTGTGTACCATCTGTAAGAAACTCAATTTTAATTCAGTACCCTATGATGATCATCCTTTAATTCTGATTAATAATCATCACACAGATGATGAGGCAGTTCTCCTTCGGGAGCTACTTGACATGTCTACTCTCCTAATGTAGCCATTTAAGTCTTACTGAATTTCCATTTGCAAGTTTCATGTTCAACTCTAGAGGTGGAAACACATCTGTTCGGTCATTCATTTTACATTTTGATCTCTGAGGCAGAAGAATGAATTGCCTCAATGAAATACTGTAGCAGCTGAGCTTTAATTTCTCATTTTAAATAAGAGCACAGAATATGAGCACAGAATTCTTATTGGCATAAATTTTGTTTAAGCTATTGGGGTTGTACTGATTTACTAATACTGAGGATGTGTCTCTTTCACTTGTATTTTAACTTTCTTCTCTTTTCTCTTCTAGGGCAACAGGCTTTGGCTTTCTGAATGCACTATGCAAAGCTGCAGCTGTACTTGGAAACCTAATATTTGGTTCCCTTGTTGGTATCACCAAAGCAATCCCTATTCTCCTTGCTTCTACTGTTCTAGTATGCGGAGGTCTGGTGGGACTTCGGCTTCCTGATACAAGAACACAGGTGTTGATGTAACTGGAAAAAACATTCATTATTTATTTCCTTCTTTGTACAAATGCCATTCTCCTGACTGATGGTGCAAAGGCTTCAGATTCTCAACACACAGTAGAGTGCTCAAATGCCAGAAATCAAACTCAAAAGATACTTTGGAGTAGCAGAGATTTAGCATGTATGAAAGTTTTACATTCTTAAATTTAAAATTAATTTAAATTTAAATTTAAATTTAACTTTTGTTTGCTTGCATACTTTGTTGTTCAAACCCATTTCACTTTGAAGTGCAAAGCTACCTCTTAAAATAGTTTTGGTGACATATCCAGGAAGGTAAAAACCATACTGATAATTAGATATTTAAAATGCAAGCAGTCAGATTATTTCAAAAGCACATGCTAAATTTGGCCATGGCATTATGAGCTTTAGTAACAGTACAGACATACAAGTCAATTACTTAGCAGTATTGGTGTGGGGAATGTTAATGTTTCAATGCATGCAACATTTATCAGGAAACTCAACTGATTGCATCAGTACTGGGAACAGTGACCTTCTGCAGCTGTGCTTAGGTGATAAAAACTTGCATGCAATAACTTGTAGGCAGTGATTCTTCCTTGGGAAACATTTTTAGGCAGATTCAATCTAAGCAAAGATTACCAACTACGCCCCATACTGACTGAGGAGAAGGCAACAACTACTGCAGGGAATATAAAAGTCCATATAGGTATGCAGCAGAGAGAATAACAAAATTAACATTTTCGCTTTTTTACTGCTGATGCTACTTTTGTTTTATTCTTACTTGTGGCATCTGGATTTTTTTTTTTCCATTTAAAACAGTGAATTTGTCTTATTCCAGGAATGAATGAATGCAAATAGTTCTGCTGTTGTTAGTAACAATAAAGGAAGAATCAGGCCATTGAACTATATGATAATGATGATACTTTCAGATGTTTATTTGGAATTTATATATGTAAAGACCTTAATTTTTTTCATAGTTTCTACACTTCTTAATACAACCATTTTCTCAGCTAATAGCTCCAGAAATGTCTGACCATGTAATATTTTCAAATATCTTTTCGAAAAGCCACTAAGAAATAAGCCATGGCAAGGCTGCAGGGAATAATAATGCTTTTATTAGACCAAGTGCATAGATGGAAAGCAAATGGTAGTAAATACATTCCTTCTATGCTGTGGACTGTTCTGATTACTGGAAAATTCCCCATCAGTCCTAATGCTATGCAAAAGTTTATGGGATCTCTTTAAAATATCAGCATTACAAATTTAATACAGATACATTTATAAAATCATCAAAGAAAGGAGGCAGATCCTCTGATGACAAAAACTGGCATTGCTTTCATTGGAGCTAAGAAAACTTGTATCAGGTGATTAACTATCTGCAGTTTCAAGTGTGAAGTAACAAATTTGCTATAAAATATATGAAAATTTTTATTCAGTATTTTTTTTAATTATGTCTGACAGCATTTATTAGGTAGATGAAGCATTGCAAAGCAACTAAGCTTTCAAATAAGGTCATCATATAGTAAGCTAGACCTTTTTTCATTGATTTTTCTCTTGCTCTTAGATGTGAGCTCGGATTTAGGTAGTAATATGTGGCACTGAAGTCTTTATCAGTTATCATCTTTGTCATGTTAAAAGAATCAGTAAAAGTCTATGTAAGAAGATCATTCAACATATTTATAGTTCGCTGTTAAATCTACTGATTCTAGAAGTGATATTTTCAGCTACTAACAAATGCCTCTGCTACACATTGTAGCACAAAAAATGTTAGCCCAAGATGCTGTTTTCTCCTATGAAATGAGAAAATTGGCAGAATTTAAAAAGCGTGAGTATGGAAAACAGGGGGGCATTATTTTGATGTTGGCAATTTAAAAAAAATTTAGCAAGTGTGTTTATTTTGGAGTGTTAAGATGAAGATATTTGAGATGAAATACTTTATGTTTAAATCTGACTTAGACATGTCTCTTAAATTTCTAAACTATGCTAATAAATGAGCATTAACTATTTTTCACTAAGGCCTAGAAAAAATTCTGGCCTTAGTTTTGTATCTGTGGCCTTTTTTCCACTAATCATAGCCTTAATATTATTTTAAGGCTGTTTTCTATAATTAATACTATATTTGAGCCCTTTTTCTTCATGCAATTCATTAGTAGCACATGTTTAACTCCTTGCACATACTGCACATTTATTTTGAAATCTGAAGCCTCTGTACGTATTTAGAATAAACACCAACAACAATGGTATAATATTGCTTTGTGTTGCTGTGCACTGTCCTCTTGCAGTAGTATATTCTGTCCATCTCTGCATGTAATTCCCATAACAGATGCAATACTTCACACCTTCTGACCAGCTTGAAGGAAATGGGTCACAGAAAAATAATATTCAGCTTTTGAGGTCTATGATTCAAGTTTAACACTCTAAAATCTCATGACATGTAAATTTATGTTGATTTCTGTGTTGGTCTTATAATAAATCCTGACTATATCATAGGTCTGGGTTAAAATCTGGATGAAAATAAATGTAGCAATAGGAATTAGCAGAGATTTTTAAAAACAGACACAGCATAGTCCAGAATTATAAAGTTCTAATGTAAAAAAAATAAAAAAAAATAATAGTGGGTAGGAATTGAGAGAATAAGTAAATGAGAGAGATGAACAAAGAAAAGAAGCAAGAACAATTCCATTCCAACACATGAAACAAAACAAAACTTAAAGGTAAAATTTTCCCAGATGGTAAGCTACCTGGTTCAACAGATTTGAGCTAGTGTGCAAGCCAACACCAAAGTTGTTTGAATAGTCAATAGTTTTTGCTTGAGCACAGTAAAGATTTATCTCATAAAAACAAAAAAGTGAATGCAATTTCACACTATAAATAACTTTGTGAGATACATGAAATCCACAGACTGGAACAGAAATCTATGGCAATCTGGCCACAAATGTTATTCACATTATAAGCAAAAGAAATTTGACTAGTCTTCAGCAATTCCATCTTTTCTTGCAGCCTCCAAAGCAATCACAGATAATAAATATTGAACAGAAGGATCTGCACTGTCTTTCTATGTCTACTTGCTTACATGTCACACAAAGAATTACTTAGTGGGATGGCTAGATTCCTAACACACCAGACAGAAGCAAACTTGATAGCATTTTTGTATTACAATTGCAAACCCTATGTAATCAAAACTGATTATTTGTTTATTTTGGTCACAGACCTGACTGACTGCTAACTAGAAATCCCTGTCAATCAAAAGTGAAGTAGGATATAACATCTAGGAATTTTCTGTGCAGCTGAAAAGCTTATCCCAACAGCAGCAATGACAAAAAAGCACAATGGCCCTTGAAAATACAAAAGACTCACAGCATTTAGAATGCTGTTAACCATAACAGTAAAATATTTTGAAATTTGGAAACTGTCTACAAAAGAGACCACATGCTTTCATTTTTGGCAAGGAAATTTTCTTTGAATTAGCTTTACTCATTACAGGTTGTCCAATAGTAGAACTTGACTTAACAGACTCTAATTTCTTGAAAGCATCTTATTCATCATGTTAGTACACTTTAACCAGCTTGGTTATATCCATGCTAGGACAGTGCTGCTTGGAAGCATGCGCTACAACATTTGGGGGAACTAGGAATAGGTGTTCACAGTGGAGCACTTAACAGGATTGGTGGTGAATGACCTACTGGGAAACCTTCTTCCTCTCAGCTTGATTTTAACCACTTCCCTTACAGAGTTGTGTACTACAAAAGCTAGGCACTGATGAAAAAGAATTAGCCCCCCTTTCTGATGGCTCTAGTAGTCTATTCCTCCTTTATCATCTTAAGAATATGGGTCAAAGTTAAGACTACTAACTCAAGCTCTGCTTGCTCTCTCTTCCTGCCATTCCATTCATTCCATCCCAAATTACTTTTCTTGCTAGGGGACCAGCCATAAAGAAAATAAAAACTCTCTCACCTGCTTCTGACTTCCCAATAACATTCAGGAAGAAGTTTTGTTACATATCTTTTGCATTTTGGTTATAACTTTTTAAAACAATATGTAAAGCAGCCTTAGAAGTCCTTCTGCATGTGAATCTCACCTTTTGAGACAGCCAGACTCCACACTTCCCTGCCTATTGAGAAGGCTGACCTAATACAAGGAGAGGTGTCCTCTCAGAATAGCCCCTGTTGACCTCCTGATTTGAGGGAATCTTCTTGCCTGTGCACCTAGCTCAGCTCCATTCAAAGGAAATTATATTCTGTATTCTTTTTTTCTTTTTTTCTACCACTTTGGAGCCTTATCTTTGCATAACTGCTCTTGAGGCACAAGAGCAGATACCAATTCTCAGCAAAGTAATATAGTCCTCAGTCCCTCATATGGACAGCCTCTGAGTGCTAGGCTTTAGCTCTCTTCCCCATTCCGAGTTTTAAATTAATCTTCAATAGTCAGAGAAAGATGTTTACATCCCGTCTCACCTCCTTACCTAAACAAGATGATATCATGTTAATACAACCTATAAGCCATGTTTCCTGCTTAATAACCTGGAAATGCAATTGAAATTTCAATCGCAAAGTTGAAAAATGAATCTTTGCACTCAGGGGGTCAAAGACACAAAAAGTAAAACTAGAAATGCTCCACTTCCTCTGGTGTTTTGAAAGAAAACACACATTCAGTAATCATATTCCATAAGAAAACACATCTGAGAGGCAAACTGACTGTAAAATATTAGGTATTTGCCTGCATTAGTACTTTCAAATGCTGCTATTTGAGAAAACACAGCATGAAAATAGAGACTTTTGCTTGCACTTTCAAGGTAAGACACAGTTCAGTGATGTAGAATTAGAGGAGACACGTTAGCCAGAAAATCTGGAACTCAGTTCAAAACAGGAATTAAATGGAAAGCATCAACTTAAAATGTTACTTGCAGATCTCACCTTCCATTTAACCTCACATAGTCTACAACCAATCCATGTGCTGCTATCAGCTTAATTTGCTTTCTTCTAATAACTTCAACAAGTGCTACAAAATATATTTAGATTCATTATCATAAGATTTTTTTTTTTTTTTTTTTTGGTAGAGGAAAATTTCCTATTTTTTTTTTTACAGGAAGAACCCTTCAACATTTAGTCCCACTCTACCTCTATAAGATTGTTATATAGAAAAACTGAAAAAGATAAATTGGGCCTGAGTTATTTACTTTTCTTATTAAACATTTTGTTGAACTATGTACAAAGATGCTGGCCTATAATATGGAGTTCTGGGACTTTGAACACAAACTGTGGAACTCAAACAAAGCAGTAATTTTCAGCAGTCTCCTCCCACAACATACACATGAGTTACATTTAATAGGACCAAAACACTTAGGGAAAAGTACAGTGCTTTCTAGGGAAAACCATCTATTCTCTTTGACAAAGGTCTAGAACATATTGGTCCCTTCAGACCAGTACGAAGTCTGATAACCAAAGATTGGAGATTGCTTAACAACAGGACCATTTGGGTGAGGATGACCTGACATTAAAGTATTGTTCTTTCCACCCAGGTTCTCATAAATATCCATTTTAATGACACATAACCAAGATGATTTGTAGAGACCTTCCCCTGCTCTGGTCAACACATTTGAGTTGTAGCCAGACATACCAGCCCACAAATGAAAGTGAGAGAGAAAAAGAGCTGGCAGGCACTTTCAGCACTCTCTCCACAGCTAGCCACCAAAGTTCATTTCTCTTGGATCCTAAGGGTCTGGTTTTTGCTTAGCTTTCTATTTTCTAATTTTGGGCACCTCCCACTTGCCATTCAGTTTTCACAAGTAGTCACCACCAAGCAAGCTGAAGCTGCTTTAATGCTAAAGGATATCACTCACAGCTCATTGCAAGTAGAGTTCTCTGCAAGAGTCCAGTGTCATATGTGTTGTTCTAGCTTCATTTGTTGTCAGGCGCTAGAGTTGTTGGCGAACACTTCTCCTGTACAATTCTGCATGTATTCTTATGTATAAGGTCTTCTGTCCTCTTAATGTCTGCTTTGTGTGACTATATGTATGCCCATCCCCCACCGGCTATGTGATAAAAATATTTTGTGAATCTTACATGGCTCTGTCTTACCCAGTTAAAAAAGAAGAGGGTTGGGAAAAATAATGAAAAAGAATCAAATTAAATGTAAACAATGAAGAGTTCAAGAAATAGGTTTCAATTATTTTTATTTTTTCAGATGTTTTCTTCAGATCCTAGCCTGAAGCTATATAATATTGTAAATTGTAAATAAATAGTACACAGTTAGAAGTGAACACAGAATGCAGACATATGTGGGTGAGTATACACACATATGGACACAGTCACCTTTACAACAGAGATGAATCTTAAACTTTCAAACAATGTCCTCATCTCTTTCTCTGTGACAGTGTTACTTTCTTCATTGTGCATTATATTTTGAACACAAATGACATCCTGCTCCATTCCTTGTGCAGAAACCTTTACTTATTCATGTGCAAAATTGTTGGGATGCCAAGAGTCATCTCAGCTGGCCATTAGCTTCCAGCCATTGGAAGGGGATTCCTAAAATGGTCTGAAAAATGAGCTTTGGCTTAGCTGTTGCCTTCCCCTGTCTGCCCAACCCACCCTCCTGCCCCATCACACTGTGCCAAACAGCAAAACAGCACATCATGCAGAGGCACTGGTGTTCCAGTGACTAGGAGACACAGCACTCTCAGATACATAAACTCCTAAAAGCTATGAATTTTTGTCTTATTCAACCAAAAGGCCTTCAAAATGGTCCATGGGGATATCAACACATTTCTGTGTAATGTATGAGAAAATATCTGTGATTTTCTGTATTGTATGTTTTTCATTGTTTCTGCATATATGGCTGCCGTTGTTCTAGTGATGTGGTTAAAAAATTATCTGCTAATGTTCTTATCAGCAATTTTTGACCAGCCTGAAACAGAGCCATTGCCAGGGTGTTTTTCAATTAATGATTAACACCCATGAAGATCTTCTACAGTAATTAGTGCCATATAAGGTCATGGATACTATAAATTAAGCCAATCCAGGGTGAAACATACCCACAGATCACAGTGGAAAGAGCTCTTCCAAAAGCTCTGGCATCTGCTACATTTCTTCTTTGCTCTTTTGAGGAAGTTCACTCTCTGCAGTATCCTTTCTCTGGTAGGGGACATGCACTCATGCTACAGAAGTGGGAAAGCAGAAGAAAGGGCATATTCCTTTCACAGGAAAGAACGTATGTTTGCTGTAGGAAAGCCAGCTCTATAATAAGATTAAAACAAACAAACCAACCAACCCAAGCAGCTTGCTATTCTTTTTTATTCCCATGTCTCCTTTGAATTGATAAACGAAATACCAATGCTTACGAAACCTTTGGGAGGAAGTTAAGAAAGAGTGACAAGGCTTACACGAAACTTCTTTGGCAAGGTGGAGACCTTTCCAAAGCAGTGAACATATGCAGTGAATGAAACCATAGCATATAGTTTCTAATTGTGATCACAAACAGGCAGTTTTAAGTAGAAAATTGTCATTCAAATCTACAGCAGCAAAAGATAGTACTACCTTATATATGGAAATCTGTAAACATAGATTAAAATCAATGGCTTGGAAGAAAAAGGGGAATATTTGAAGAGCTACTTAAAAACACAACCTCCCATCGTCTCTTTTGGACAAACCTTTTAGTGCTTTCCTGTTCCTTCCTGCTACCAGTTGTCCTAATATTCCTAGTTTTCCTAATATTAGTCCTGTAATGCCTCACAAATGAAATGAAAGGCTAAATTAAAATTTGCAACACAAATTGAGAGCAGGAATGAAGATAGCACTGTAGGTAAGCTAGCTCATTTATAAGAATTTTTAAAATGCCCCAAGCTGCTGGTGGCCGCCTGCATTTATTGTCCTCCAAGTAGTTTAGGTTCCTACAAAGTGTTACATGTCAGAAGCTTTGTATGTGTAATCTGATCCCTGTTTAAATCAGTGAAGCAATTTTTTAGGGTCAGGAGCTTTGTCTTTCAAAAATATGAAGTATGTGACTGTGTATACTGCCATGGTGGAATTGCTACTTTTTTAGGAAGAATAATTTTAGCCTGGTTTTTCCTATGAATGTACTGCTTCACAAATATTAAAAGGATTTCAGTACCAATGTTACAAGCTAAGTGAATCAACTGGCAACTTCTTTTAATCATTCTCTACAAAATATTGTATTAAATACTCAAGTTATACTTTAAAAAAATTGCTATATTATCTTCAGCTGCACAACAGTGAGACAATTAAATTGTATTTCATGTTTGGCCTCAAATATATGTAGGAATATACTGTATCAAATTAGATATTTTTTTTAAGTGGGCAGTTTCCATTGCAGTGTAATGACATATGTGCAGAAGCCAGGTATCAAGGATGCGGTATAGAAAGTAGAGCTCTTGGTCTTCTCTGCAACTTATTGGTATTGTAAGGCCACTGATTTTCTTAAAAACTTGTTCATTTTTTACTTTCACTGCAATTTATTCGCATTGTCAGCTTACTGATATTAAAAACCTGTTAGAATATTCTAATGCTAAGGAACAGAAGGAAAACATGTATTCTTTCCTAGTTTTTGCAGTTGTTTTCTGTTCCCAGTTTCTGCTTCTAAACTACCACTCAAATTTCCAACTGCTCTGAGCCAACTGGCCGTACCATTTTTCAGTCTCCAGTGTACAAACACACAGGTATGTCAGTGGCCATGTGTCATCAAGAAAATCATAACCATTTCTGACAATCTCCATTTCTCAACGCAAGGTAACATATACATATTGTATATACGGGTAACAAGCTACTTTAAAATTGAATTGCCATTTGAACATGGGAATTTGACTTCAGATCTGCTAATCTGCATCAAGATCTTGGCAATGGTCCTGACCTCTCTGTTTCTTTCTTTCTTTATTTCCTTTACTGCTGTGTGTGCCTGGAAAGCAGGTTATAGTCATCACTACTGTACATATGTATTTGCATGTGTGTACCTTGATAAATTCTCTCTTTTGGAGTTCTGAATTTTTCATTTCAAGTCCAGCTGGTACAATTGTGAACTCATCTTTCCAGTATCCTCATCTGTGTCTGATTGCCAGCTTCCAAAATGTTTGACCAAGTGTTTTGATTAAGTCTTCTGAGGAAAGCTGTCTGTATATTTGTGGAAGGGCATGCTCTATGTAGGATGACTGTGTACAGTATAAATCTATAAAATGTGGAAGTGTTTATAAATTTATCTGCAAAATATTTATCATCTGTGTAACAAATGCAAAGTTATTTAGTGTACATCAAATTAATAAATGGGGATGATTTTTTGCTCTGCTATATTAAAATAAAGATATGTTCTCTGCAATGAATATATATCAGGTGTGATGATAGCCATAATATTGTTGTTCTTTATCCACAAGATACTACACTACCCACTATAGAAAAAAACAGTTATTTTCCTTTACCTTAATTGTTCTTTTATGATGGTTCTCTATGTAGCTCATCTTTAGTGCCTGTAGTAGAAGTTGAACATATAGTAAATATGGAGCAAGTTAATAAAGTTAAATGAATTTAAGTGAATTTGAAAGAAGATAAAGTAGAAGTTACTATGATTGTAAGAGGCAAAGTTCTTCAGTTAACCATCTAGGATTTGTATTTTTATGGTATGTAACTACACAAAATAGACACCTGGCCCTTCAGTATATAACTGCATTGCAGAGGTATGTTATCAACAAAAGGGTCTAGTCTAACTCAATGTGAAAAACAAAGTATAATGATCAATGAATCTGAAAGGCCAGTGGAAATCTATATAGTAAACTGTGGTTCCATAAGAACTTGGTATTCACAGGAAAAAACCCCATCACCACCAATAAGGCCAAACAAACATACTAACAAAAAAAACCCCTAAACCAGCACGCACACATACACACACACACAAAAAAAAANAAAAAAAAAAAAAAAAAAAAAAAAAAAAAAAAAAAAAAAAAAAAAAAAAAAAAAAAAAAAAAAAAAAAAAAAAAAAAAAACCGGAAACCACCAAAACTAAAGCAGAACTGCAACAATATTAAATTCATTGCATTTGTGCTTTTTGGACATTCAAAAAGTATCAACAGATAAAATGTGGTAGCTTTCAAATAACAAAAAATGCTGAGTTGTTTATATTCTAACATTTCCATGGCTAAATCAGAAACACATTTCCAAATATAGGTTATTTTAAACATATGATGGACTAAACAAAACACATGAGTCTCTTCAGCTGTGTCACCAAGAGGGAAAACTTAAGCTACATGTGAATTGAAACATTTTTCATCTCATGCCACAGTACTGTCTGCAAAACCCAATTACAAAGGGGATGCATGATTTTGTGACTGTCCTTTAGTAACTAGATTGTTTTGTGGTAGAGTATGAAAAATAACAGTCTGTATTTATTAAGTACAACAAACAGAAGTATTATTTCGTATTTTAATACTCCTTAGATGTACATCCTCATCTACCTGCATTTGAAGGGTATACTTCATTCTCTAGTGGAGATCTGCCTTCCAGTTTCACTCTTCAGGGTGGAAACACTTCTTATTTTCTGCAGTTTTCCACAGACATTCTTCACAGCTACCTCTCAGAAATATCACATGCTCTCTAGAAAACCTTCAGTAGCAGGGAATCTTCTGTTGGAAGACATCAGCCTGCAGAGAAGGATACCTCACTTGCAGGACAGCATTTCTTTAAATTAATTTTGGATGCATATATGTGTATATATATATAAGTGTGTGTGTGTGTGTGTGTGTGTGTGTGTGTGTGTGTGTTTGTGTGTGTTTGTGTGTGTGTGTATAGTCCTGGCTAACAAAGCTATGCTATCAAAATGGTGATACTTCAGAACACTCTGGTTGTGTGTGTCCATTTAGATATTTTTTTGAGATGAGTGCGAGACCAAGGATGCAAATGGTAAGTGGGGGAGGCATTTTGTGGTATACAGCACAGTATATCCCTGAGCACAAATGTTAAAACAGATCACATGAATCCTCCATATGTCTTGCTTTTTACTAGGATGCCAGCTAGGCTGTGATTTGAATTTAACCCATAGCAATTGTAAAACCTTACAATATATTATGTGAGATCAGTATCTAACACAAACCGCTCCGCAACCTATTTACTCATCTCTGGAACTTTTTAAGAGCACTTTACCCTGGCAGCAGAGATAAGAAATATTGGCTGAAAGTTCTTCAGAGACTTTCTTAAAAATATTAAGCTGAACAGAAATTCATACCATTCTGTATATTTTCTGGTGTCACCATACGTAAACTTTCACAGTATACAAGTTCATGCACTCTTTCGGCAGTTGCATTTCACAGCATGTTGCTTTGTGACTCTCACAGTGAACCTAACTGATCTGATTAGGACTTCAGTGGTGATTTTAGTACACACAACTATAGCAGACTGAAGTTGTAAGCACTAAATAGCCTGGGAAGACAAAAATGCCTGACTGAACTACATATGGAAATGCCCACACTATTCAATCCAGGCAATGTTTCCAGCTGTGAAAATACTAGTGCCAACCCTACCAGTTCTTGAGTAAATTCTACTATCCTTCAGAACAGACAGACTGTCCCACTTCTAGTCGCAGAATGACAAATTGTCAAAGTATTTCTCAAACACACTGTTATGGGCTGAAAAGGTAAGTACTTAAGAATCCTTAGCTGCAAAAATGAAGTGTGAAATGCCTGCTGCAAAACCTTAAAATGTTGCTTGGATGTCCCAATTATTTGGCTGAATTCTGAGTAAATACAGTAGATACAGTAAATACAGTAAATAAAAATCTCTGCTACAGGTCTGATCTTTATTCTTCCCCAGTCAAATAGCACTTTAATTTAAAAGTTTCATGATAATGCAGAGTTTAGTTACTGCAGGGCAACAGTTTTTTACCAATAATTACAATAGACCTGAAATGTGAATTTTACATCTGGTTTATAATGCTTATAATGCTTATAATGTTTACTTTGCTCTGTGCACACACAGAATACAGACCACTTAACCCCATGACTTCCAGGGTAAACACCACTATAAATAAAAGCATCCTTTGCTTTGCAGTTCGACTGGACTTTGCAGAGAGTAGGAATAAGAAATCAGGTAAAACTAAGAGTACTCCACCTTTGCAAGAGTTCTGCAAGTGAAGCCACTAGTGGACTCTTGTATTTTCTGCATTATTTATCTTTGGCTGGCTGTCCCTGCAGACACACCCCATGGATTCCCTTGCAAACTCCAGATTCTGCCTACAAATTACAGCACTGGCATTAGAACTAAACTATCTGAAAGGCATACCACCTGGTATATAGGATTACATACCAGTTAAAGTCATTTTTCCCAAGTTTCTTTCCCATCCAACAGGTCTGGAAACCGTTGTCTATGAATATGTTTCCCCATCCCTCCTAATTAGGAGTTACAGAAATAACTGTTTTGATAGTGTTCAGTATAATTATATATGTATATGTATATGTAATCTCAGGCTGCTTGAGAGTAATTGCCCATCAGTTCAATTTTCAGTACTCAGGAGGAGTTTGACTTTGTCTCTTCAGTCTGTAGCTAAAATCAGAGGGTTTAAAATGTAAATATATAAAAAAGAAATGAAGAATGGTCACAGCTGTTAGTAAATATGCTTACATAGAACAAAGGAACACTAAGATGCTGATGTGCTTTTGATTAACAGTAATATTGGTATTGTACTGTTAATGTGAACTCTAACTCTGTGTCTTTCATGGGACTGCCATTCTGTGTTTTGTGACATACAGAGTAGGTAATTTTTGAAGACAGGGATACAAGGTCAAATGGAGCACAGTTTCCAGGGTAAAACTGGACTTTGCATGCCAAAAGCATATCAGAACTACTGACTGATCTTAAAACAAAAGAAAAAGCAGACGGGTGAGAGCCCACATCTGTTTAAGAAGTCATTAACTATGTAATTAACTATTTTGCATTGTTACTGTTACACAAATGTTGAAACCAAGGAAAGCTGTTCACTGTGACATAGGATCTTTCCTCAGTGATACCATTAACAATGACCAAATGCAATCGCCAAACTGACCTACAGGTGGAGCAGGGAAAACAACTAATGAAAGGAACAGAAAATCCTTACTAACAAAGCTCCCAGAGTTCCAGCTGTCACTGCTCAGCAGCAGACTGAAATCCTTCCCTCAACCAGGCACACACGCCTTGTGAGATGGGTGAGCGGTGTCCTTACCCAGGGATTAGCTCATCTTTGACATGTTTGGTGGAACAAGTCTGGAGTGGAGGCAGCTTTGGACCTCTCTGGAAGCAGGGCTGCTGTAACCCAAGGAGCCAGCACCAGGATACAGATACTCCCCAACCTACACAAGATGCTGATTAACTTTTCATTGCTCATTTTTCACATGCTCATTTTAATGCTACAGATGCAACTGATTTGGTGTGTTGTTATCTGAGGAATACCTGTTATCCTTTCAGAAAACAAAAAAGATTCTTCCGGGAGTCTAATTCAAATGGAAGCCATTTTGATTTAAATAAGAGGAGGCTGCTGACTCTGTGTTCTCTGTGAAGGGTCCTGGATGCTGGGATTAGGTCTCCTGGCTGAGCCTCCTGGTGCCTGAATTTGTCATTCTTTAAGACGTGTTCTTCATTTTTTTACACTAATGTGAATAATGAGGAGCTTTTCAAAAGGCTGGAGCTGTGCCAGTGGAAAAGTGATGGAAATAAGACCAGAATTAATCTAGTGGAAATCCATGGGAGTTCAGCCTGTGCTTTATCTGTGGGGCAACTGTTGGCAGGCAAGAAATAGTTGTAGGGTTGCCTTAGCTGTCACTCAGTAGGCTGTAAATGCAAAGCTCCTCAAGAGTAATAAATAAATAAAACATTAATGAGTGAATAATGCATAGACTTTTAGTGGAGTGGAAACATTGCTAAGCACATGCAATCACAAAGAAGCACACAGATGCTGAGTTACAACATCAAAAAAATGCCACTCCAAAACCCATAAAAATCCCACCCCCCAAAAGAAACACTGCCATAGGCAAACCACTTATAGCTTGTGGATAACATGTGAGGAAACAATCAAGATCTTAGTTTTGCTACATCCAGCTCAACAAAGAATGCTTTTTTCCTGAATCTCTGAGCTGCAGCCGGCCACAGATGTTCTCTGCTTTCAAACAGTTCTGAATTCATTTTTATGGTTATTCATTATGTCTAGACAAGGAGAGTCACTCCACTCCGAAGTACTCTGTTAAATGAATAAATATTTATTCCAACAGGCAAATGGAGACAGCTCTTTTCTGTCAGGGTGTTGGCAGAAAGATTTCCACCTCTGTCTTGCTAAACTCATGCCACTTTTGCAGCAACCAGGGCATTTGTCC